CGAGTCTCCTGCCTCAGCCTCCCAAGTAGCTGGGACTACAGGCGCCCGCCACAACGCCTAGCCATTTTTTGGTTGCAGCCATCATTGTTGTTTGGCAGGCCCGGGCTGGAGATTCGAACCTGCCACCTTGGGTGTATGTGCTGGCGCCTTAGCCGCTTGAGCCACAGGCGCCGAGCCTGATTTTTAGAAATATATCTGTCTTCATGACAATAAACCAGTCTCTCCATCAATCTAGTGAACATGGATTTCACATTTAAATAACATTCTAATAAACTCATTTCTGCTGAAATAAGAATATAGCACATTTCTATATGAGAAAATAATTTTTAATAATAGAAGTTTCAAAAGAAACACTAGAAATTTTGTACTCAAGTGGCAAAAAGTATAGTATAAAGGTCTTATTCAGAGTCCACCACTTTCTACCTCTATTTAGATAATCATTAAATTGAAGAGAAACTAGGAAGCACTAAATAGAATCAACAAACCTGGAGTTGGTCTATATTTCCAAATGGATCTTTTTTCCTTTTCAAGTTAAATGCATCAACATCTTCAGCTTTTATTTTTAGAACTTCTTCTTCTGATTTTAACTGTAGTTCCTGTAGAAAAAGAAATTGAAAACATCTATTGCTTTCTCTACCTAGCCATTATTAAATATGCACATAATCATTTTCTTAACATTTACTTCATTTGCAAAGGGAGAAAAAAATGAGTAGATGAAAGTAGAGGCTATTTGAGAAGAAAACAATTTTTTTTGTTCTATAAAATGTAATTGACAAATAATAGTTGTATGTGTTTATAGGGCATGTAGTATTATTTTGATACATATATAGTGAGTGGATCAGGGTAATTATCATATCCAAGAAGAAAATAATGTTACCTCTCACTGAAGCAATAAAATGTACTTGCAAAAAATCTGGGTTTACTGAAAAACTGAGCATTTTTTTCATTCTTTTATGAGTGCTACAAATTAGCATAACAGGGATAAACATACGAAATTTATAAGTATGCTTTCTTCTGCCTTTTTGAGCCCATTACCTTCAAAGGCCACCCAAGACACCTGTTTGCCATGGGTATATTCAAATTTACTATAGTAAATGCAAAAAGAAAAGAAATATTCATTCTCTGGTGTTCAAAAATGATTGTTTGGAGCATGAGAATAGCCTTTCAAGACAGATAATGGTTCTGTGGAATATTTTTCCAAATTCCTTTCATAACCATCCACATCTTAAGGTCAAGGCTCACAGTATTCTCTGGGGTTTGGAGAAAGTGAATCTGTTCACTGCTAAAGCATAGCAGGAATCAGGAAGGAGGCCATGAGTCAAAGTGGGCCAGTCCTCATACTATTTGTTACCGGTCCATGATGGGTAAGTACAAAATTGAAAATAAGCATTTAGATACTTTCATAGCAATTTTCAGAATAATTTTATGTCTGTTGACTTTAATAATTTTTTTTTTTTTTTTGAGACAGAGCCTCAAGCTGTCCCCCTGGGTAGAGTGCCATGGCATCACAGCTCACAGCAACCTCCAACTCCTGGGCTCAAGCGAGTCTCCTGCCTCCGCCTCCCAAGTAGCTGGGACCACAGGCGCCCGCCACAACGCCCGGCTATTTTTTTGTTTGCAGCCATCATTGTTGTTTGGCGGGTCCGGGCTGGGGATTCAAACACACCACTTTAGGTGTACGTGGCTGGCGCCTTAGCCGGTTGAGCTATAGGGACTTTAATAATTTTTAAGCGGACTTTTATTTGTATATTTTCATTTTTTATTTAATTTTCCTAATGCTGCATATTTTACAAAAATACAAGACTGTGAAAACTGCACCTTTTCCACAGGTAATTTCAGAAGTACAGACAGAAAGTAAGAAAAACACATAGCATTCTCCAGCCCTGGGAATAGCAGAAAGTAGGAAAGAGACAGACAGAAAGACTTGTGTCCCAACTGTCTCTCTGAGTTTTAGCCCAGAAAGCAGACGCTGATTAAAGGTATCAGTGAGGGCAGAGAGGGCCCTACCCCACTTAGGAGAGAGAATGCAGACTGCAGTACAGAGGCCCTACACCCACATGGGATTGCCCCGCCTTGCCAAAGAGCAGAGGGGCATGATTAGGAAAGAGATACCAATTGGACACCTTGGTCTCATATAGCATGAATCCTAAGTTAAGAAACAATATAGGTAAGTCATCGTAGGGCAGTGGCCCTGAAGCTGGCAATAAGGACAAACTACTGGGCTAGCAAGCCACATGGAAGACCTCAACAGGGGTTTCTAATGCCAAGTGGGAGATGAGATGAAACAGAAGCACACCCATGTGCTAAACCAGAGGTAAGACCAGACTATGAGTTCTACCAGCCAAGGGCTTCACCATCAGGGGCCAGCAGGTTAGGCAGTGTAAAGTGGATAAGGGAGAGCAGATTCCAGCCGATCACATCCCTCAAATCCATGAGAAACAATAAAAGAAAGCTACACACCCAACACCACATACACTGGATGCCCATGTAGCAGCCTGTATAGCCTATGGGTGAGAGTTATGGGAAATACCTGTAATGGAACACCTTGGTGAAAAGGGCATGGAGAGAGATTTAGTTCTAACAAGCATGAGAGAGCTCACGAGATGAGAGCATTGGTGAACTGGCAGTCTCTACACCTGTGGTGTTGAGAAGCACGAGATCAGCCTTATTTTAGGCTGGAGAAGGCACTCAAATAGCATGCGCATTCTATCACGGACACGCTTACTCTGTCTCGTCTCCTGCCTGCAGAACACCAAGCTCTGCTAAAGACTAAGATCTCTCTGTTCTAAGAAGACTGCTTTACTGTCTCTAAGATGCTCTGTTTCTCTCCAGCTAAAGTAGCTAGCCCTCAAGCACCTAAGAGAAACTGTTCCTGAGCAAGGTAGCTTAGTGGTCCGAGTCCAGAACCTGCCTAAGCTGGGCCGACGCCTGGCCAGTCCCGGGGCCCTGACAAGTGGTGTCAGAAGCGGGATAGTGAACGCCACTGACAAATGGTGCTGTGAGCAGGATCCAGTGAATGCAGATGGAGAGGGAGATAAACTTTAGCGAAAAAGAGAAATACTCAGAAAAGAAATATCTAAGAAAGACAGCCAACAGTAGGCCTTTCTCATTCGGTTTTTCCTCTTTCCTATGTTTTCTCTTTCCAAATTCTAACTATGACTTCTGTGGGGAAAAAAGCCGGTAAAAGCCTTTAGCCTCTTATGTGAGGCAGCTGGAGGGAAAAAAAGCAGAAAAAAGCCTTTAAACAAGAGGGAAAGAGAAAAGATAGAACTAGGAGATGAGAACCTTTAGTAAACCTTTAGCCTCAGGGGTGAGAAAAGCCTTCTGTAAAACAGCAAAGAGAAAAGTTTGGCAATAGGTTGCAAGAGTTTATTAAGTTAGGGAAGAGAACTTCTAACTGCCTTCCCCTAATATCTTCGCCCAATGCCAGCCAGTAGGAAGTAGCTTTTGAGAAAGAAAGTCAGAGAAAAATCATGGAAAATGAGATACAGCAGTTGAAGTATCAAATGAAACAGCTTAAAGATGAAATTAATATCATGGCAGCTGATATAAAACAGCTGAGGGATCAGATGAATAAAATCTTTGAAGCAGGTAAATGCTCTATTGACATGACAACTCAAATTGGGCAGCTGGAAGATCAGAGGGTAAATCCCCCAGTTAACATCAAATGCCATAAATGTGGGAAGCTAGGCCATAAGAGAAGAGTTTAAAAGGGAAAAGAACATTGAATGCTAAAGAAAAGGAACAAAGAGCATGCAAACCTCCAGGTGTATGTCCCAAGTGTAAAAAAGGCTTTCATTGGGCAAATACCGTTATCAATTTGATAGAGATGGAACACCTTTATTGTAGGGGAATTATCAGTTGGGCCAGAATCAGGACCCACTGGTAAATGAAAGAAAAAACAGTTTAATATTTTCATTTCAAACCATTCTCAGAAAAAAAAAAGTATGATTCAATTCTATGCCATGGGAGCACGATGCCAGCTTGGTTAGACCTGTGGTGCCTTAGTGTAAAATGGGAAATTAAACCAGACCAATGGATGATAATGGAGAATAATTAGATTAAATATGTTTGTGGAATATTAGGTTATCCTGCATGGTGAAAGGGTAACCGACCTCTCATCAGAGTCTGTGCACTATAACCGGGTCCAGCTAAGGAGACTGGACACGGCCCAAAGGGGAAGTGTCACTCGGAAGCAAGTGAAGCCTTTGGAAGATTATGATAGGTGAGAACAAAGGGAGGGAAGAGTAAAAGTTAAACCACCTCTGTGCTAGGAAACTCCATTTGGAAAAAAGTCTGGAATCAATTAGCAAAAATTTCGCTGGAAAAGCAGCTTGAAAGCAGGAAAAACTCTGCTATCAAGGAATTGTGAAGGGTGGCACTTTTTGGACCATGAGTAACAGTTCCACGAAAGGAACTGCCAAGTGTGGAACCATTATCCACGAGCAACAGTCTTTTGCAATCTGTGAAGGGTAGATTTCAGTACCCCGAGTAGCAAAACCTTTGGAATAGCAAGAGAAAAATCCTTGCTTGCAAAGATTGCAAGGAAGGCGTTATCTTTTGTTCGGCTAAGTAAATATCAAAGGAAAGTTCCTACAGTTAAAGAAATGGTAGGCTCGGCGCCTATAGCTCAACCGGTTAAGGCGCCAGCCACATACACCTAAGGTGGCAGGTTGGAATCCCCAGCCCGGACCGCCAAACAACAATGATGGCTGCAAACA